TGACTCGACTCTGGTGCAATTCTGAAAGTGAAAATTTTTAATAATTAATAACTAGAATAATGAAGCAGAACTGATTATTTGAGACCACCGAGTTTTCTGGACGGCCGAGTTGACTGAAATGAGGTCTACAATTTTATTCCAGGATTATACGGTCGAGATCTCTGGATGCAGTTTTTGCTACTTTGATTTAGTTGTGTCCAAAGTTTCGTCACTCTCCTGGTGCGCGCGAGTTGTATCCAGACTTACACGCAAACCTCAGCCCAGCTACTTTACTAATAAAAACTTGTGTCTTTTCTTTCTTTGTCGATTTTGTCGGGAAAATTTTTAAACCACAAGTCGAGATTTTTTTGGAACTTTGAACACACGTTAAACAACCACGGTTTTTTACAGCTACAAAAAAAACTTCTCTACTGTTTTGATGTGCATGCTATATTTTGGATTAATCATTATAGTAATACAGCAATGTTCAAATCTTACGAATACTTGCTTGCAGAAGCACACAATACAATCAGGTGAGCATAAAAAACTTAAATAAATTTAATTTTTTATTCCTGGAACTGTTGATAATATATTGATTAACTTGGGTTATTGAAAGTGCAGGAGCTATACATCTCGCCACATCTGAGACATCTCAATATTGACAAAAACACAAATAAAATGGCTCACAAATAATTTGGCTCACATGAAAATTGATTGTTGTGAAACAAACATAATGAGAATTTTTCAGGCTTGTTTCGCTCGAGCTGCAGCATAAGCTCAAATTGGACCTGGACTCCAAATCAGCCGATGATCAGGACTCCGATCACCAGAAACTATTCATAGAAAGGGATCTTCTTAACAACCTCTCGATTTTCTAATTGAAATTGATAGTGAAGTGACAATACTGTCCGCATCTCTATCGAAAGAGCGGTGGTTGGAAGCTCATCGTGATCTCTACATAATGAGCGAGACCAGTCTCAGCCCAAAAATTGAATTAAAAAGATTTGCTGGTACTTCCTAAGCAGGAGCACAATCGGTGGCTCTGTGAAGACTTGAACAACTCGTTTGTTTTGGCGTTTTCGCCGAGAAGAAATGATTTCATGACAAGAGTTAAGGGGGGGGGGGAGTTTCTAAAAAATGGGGAGGGAGTGAGGAACATTAGCGCATTCATTAAGTCTCTCTGCTATCATCAGTTTTACATTTGAGTCATGTAAGGAAGGGTGCCACTAATTTATAAATAAATTGTATGGGGTTGTTAAGTGTGATCTGCTAACAGTCGTAAATACCCGATCACTGTCGAGAACATCGAATTTCGGTTCCGAGGTCCCAAACCACGACGATGACGACGACGAAGTAGTCTCTGTTTTTTCGTGTGATTTTGAGTTCGAAATCGTGGCCTGCAGTTCTACTTCTGGTTTGCACCTGTTCGACTATGGGGGAATTATTAGTCAAGTTGCAAACCTCATAAGTCTGCAAATATAAAAAACGGCGAACTTAAATTGCTTAGCTTGTGGTTGTGAAAAATTCATGAGTACATTTTGTTAAGGAAACTTACCATAACGATCAAAGTAGTACAGAAACTGAACTTCTCTAATCTTTAGTAGTTAGTTCTTGTCAATTTTTCCAATAAAAAGTCAGAATCTTGCAATCAATTTAAACGATATCAATCGGTTCTAGAGGAAATAGAAACAAGAATGCTCGTATCAGGGCGAAAATTTGAACGTTCCGACTGCGTTTAACATTTATCAAAATTTGAAATAAATTTAAAACAAATTGAATGATGATATTTTCAAAAAAAAACTTGGAAAATTTCCAAAAAAAAATTGTTTGTATTTTTTTTTAAATCATCCTTCATACGTTATGTAACGTACAAAGTCATAAACTTTGCATATAAAAAGGTATTAAACATAGCAAAAACCACGCCTCAACCCAATTTGAAACGATTTATCATACGGATTAAATTTCCACACACGCGTTTATAGCACTAATATATCCCGCATTGATTGTCCCAAAGGGGCTAGATGGCAATCTTTAAAGTCTCATAATTTTACAAAAAATGAGCACAACTGAATATCTTTTTAAAATTTGAGCTCTGGATAGCAGTACCTTTTGAATAAAATTTTTAAAAAAATCCGTCAAAATTTGCTATTTAGAAAGTTAAAATTGGACTGGAGCAAAAAAATCACCCAGGGCACAAATATTTCGTCACGCTCTTTAAAAGTCGGAACAAACAAAAAAATCATAAAACTTGTTGATAAATAAGTTCATGTGACTCATGAGACATGTATAAAAAATAAATAGCAGGATTTTTTTTGCTGATTTTCATTAGGTAAATAGCGTACAGTTCAAATAATGTTTCATTAAAAAGCTTGTGTAAAATTCGATTTTTTGGTATCCACATACCAAAACCATAAGAAAATTAAATCTCTGTTTACGCGTTAACGGCGCGAAATATATCGCGCATTAATTATCTAAAATTTCTATTGGCATTGTTTAAGACCCAAGAACTTTACGAAAATTGATCTGAAGAGAAATTGTTTTTTTTTCATTTGAGCTCGAAACAACAATACATTTTGAATGATGCTTGAATTTCCGTCAAAAAATACTTGTTGAAAACTCGAAATGTGACCGGAGAAAAAAGCAAAAGCCACCCGAGCACGAATTTTTTCCCATTTTTTTTTGGAAAATAGTCGGAAAAAAACTGGAGCGGATCTATATCGATCAAAAATATACTTCTTCTCAGAGCCGAAATCGATACCGGGAACATTTTTTGATACCGCATATTTACAGCAGTTATTGAACAAAAAACTCAATGAGATTGTCAATCATAAAACTTTCAATCATTTATGTTGAATCTCTGCAGCATTTATCCAGAAGAACTTTCTTCACATCATTACGCCGCCAAACGCTGTTTTATAACAAAGCCCAAAAAAGCTACATTATTCTATTGAAAAACATGTTGATTCTGAATTCGACACATCTTTTTCTTTCGTTAGTGGTTCTTGTAGCTAGATTCCAGAGACAAAATGATGCCTACACAACCTCTGACTAAAAATTTGGTGTTCTGCAGTTCACAGACAACCGCGGTTTTTTCGATAAGGCAGAATGCCCTAAAAATATCTTCATTTTCGAGATTTCTTCTTTTTCGTGATTTTTTTTGCTAGATTTTAGAAATGGTCTGTGAATTCAGAATCTGTTCTTATAATCAGCAAATGAACTATCGAATTAGAAATAAACTTGCGTAGCGCAATTTTTTTGACAAGTAATATAGAAACAAGATAAACCATCGTCTGCGTTATCGCCTGAATATTATATGCCGTAGCAAAATTTCGAATGCGGAATTAATTATCTCAATTGACGCTCTAATTGTTTAAAAGGCTAAAGTTAGGTTTCGAAATAAAAAGGTATGAGATTTAAAAGAGGAAATTTTTCTTGTGTTTTACACGTCAGTTTCATTTGTCTTAAAAATATAAAAAAGAGGAAATTGAGAAAGTATGAAAATAAAAGGGGGTGATTGTTAAACTTATATAAGCAAATCGTTTCAAACTTCAAAAAGATTTACCTATTAATTAGTTTCAGGGAAAAGTCCCTGTCAGGGCCGAGTTAAAACCCTTTGCGAATTTCAACTGAAGCTATCAATCTCAATACGGCAACCGATCGACCAGACCGCGTATACGATCAACTCCCAACGCAATACTTCATCGGCTCTGCCTAAAATTTTGAGTTTTAAGAACATAGCATGACTTTTTGAGTATTTACATATAATCTTGATCAAGTTTTCATGTTCAAACGTCTGCGTCAAAACTAATTTCTTCTACATTTTCACAAAAGCCTTAAATTTTTTTTTATCTCAAAACTATTGAAAAAAAAAGAAATTAAGAACATTGAAAAACATGTTTACATTCAAGTAACTATACCCAAACCTAAACAAGAGCAAAAAATATTTTAAAAACAAAAGTTACTGATGCATCTATGTTTTAAAGCAAAAAAAAATCGGAATAAACTTAGTTTTTAGATATGCTGTTTATCTTTGCATAATCAGGTTGTATCCACACTAAAAAAAAAACAAGTTCAAGGGAATTTTCAAATTGAAGCTCTTTTAGTCTTGATGTGGAACTGTATTGAAAGTTTCCAAATAGTTCACGTGATTTCGAAAAAAAACAGCACGAGCATTTTTATTAGATTTCTCTGCGGGCGTTGGGAAAATTCAGTGCAGCTCGCCTAACAGCTGGGCGCTCTTAATATCAGTTCCAATAATAGCTTGTACTTTCGCAGCCCATTGCTGCTGATCAAAATTTTAGCTGAATTTTGTAAATATTTCGGATGTCAAATCTTTCTAAAATACGAAATTAGGACAAAAGTTTGATTCCAAGGTGGCAATTTTCGGACCATGATTCGGAATAATTTGGGCATACGTAGCGTCATTGGGCTGCAAAAGCCTGAGCATAAAATCTCAAAAGTTTGTGATAAAAGTACGAGCTATATTTATTCTGTGCCAACGATGGCTCGCAAAGGTTTGCTGATCGCTCTTTCAGAATTGTGCAACTCAAAATTAAAAAATCGGACTACAAGGAAGTTTTAAGCTCTGGATTCTCAAAAATGAATCGAACTGACTCAACTCTGGTGCAATTCTGAAAGTTAAAGTTTTTAATAATTAATAACTAGAATAATGAAGCAGAACTGATTATTTGAGACGACCGAGTTTTCTGGACGGCCGAGTTGACTGAAATCAGGTCTAAAATTTTATTCCAGGATTACACGGCCGAGATCTCTGGATGCAGTTTTTGCTACTTTGCTTTAGTTGGGTCCAAAGTTTCGTCACTGTCCTGGTGCGCGCGAGTTGTTCCCAGACTTACACGCAAACCTCAGCCCAGCTACTTTACTAATAAAAATTTGTGTCTTTTCTTTATTTGTCGATTTTGTCGGGAAAATTTTTAAACCACAGGTCAAGATTTTATTCGAACTTTGAACACACGTTAAACAACCACGGTTTTTTACAGCTACAAAATAAACTTCTCTACTGTTTTGATGTGCATGCGTAGCTATATTTTGGATTAATCATTATAGTAATACAGCAATGTTCAAATCTTACGAATACTTGCTTGCAGAAGCACACAATACAATCAGGTGAGCATAAAAAATTTTAATAAGTTTAATTTTTTATTCCTGGAACTGTTGATTAACTTGGGTTATTGAAATTGCAGGAGCTATACATCTCGCCACATCTGAGACATCTCAATATTGACAAAAACACAATTAAAATGGCTCACAGCTAATATGGCTCACATGAAACTGATTGTTGTGAAGCAAACTTAATGAGTACTTTTCAGGCCTGTTTCGCTTGAGCTGCAGCATAAGCTCAAATTGGACCTGGACTCCAAATCAGCCGATGATCAGGACTCCGATCACCAGAAACCATTCATAGAAAGGGATCTTCTTAACAACCTCTCGATTTTCTAATTCGAAATGATAGTGAAGTGACAATACTGTCCGCTTCTCTATCGAAAGAGCGGTGGTTTGAAGCTCATCGTGAACTCTACTTAATGAGCAAGACCAGTCTCAGCCCAAAAATTGAAAAAAAAAGATTTGCTGGTACTTTTTAAGCAGGAGCACAATCGGTGGCTCTGTGAAGAGTTGAACAACTCGTTTGTTTTGGCGTTTTCGCCGAGAAGAAATGATTTCATGACAAGAGTTAAGGGGGGGGGGGAGTTTTTAAAATATGGGGAGGGAGTGAGGAACATTAGCGCATTCATTAAGTCTCTCTGCTATCATCAGTTTCACATTTGAGTCATGTAAGGGTGCCACTAAATTATATATAAATCGTAAGGGGTTATTAAGTGTGATCTGCTAACAGTCGTAAATACCCGATCACTGTCGAGAACATCGAACTTCGGTTCCGAGGTCCAAACGACGACGATGACGACGACGACGTAGACTCTGTTTACTCGTGTGATTTTGAGTTCGAAATCGTGGCCTGCAGTTCTACTTCTGGTTTGCACCTGTTCGACTATGGGGGAATTATTCTCAATGAGACTTTTGTGATACTAAACAAGGAAGACGAGAAGTTAAATATTCAGTTAAAGTGAGTACGTTTTCAAAATTTAAGACATTTTTAAACAGACATTTCATTTAATCCCTGTAAGTTACGCGTTTATTAGCAAGCTATGAGATTAGCTAGGACATAAAGTTGTTAAATTGTATTCTAAACTATACAATTGCATGACGAGCACGAATTGATAAAATCAGGGGCGGATCAAGTATTTTCGAGGAAGGGGGATTTAAAAAAAGTCGAAAAATTGATCAATTTTTTTTTGGTCGACTGATTTGATTTTCTGAGCTCTCCAAATCTTTATAAAACTCAATTTAGACCTAAGTATAAGCGCCGCAGAAATTTTTCTGGAAAAAAATTTGGCCAAAAACAGGCGGTCCCCCTCAAAATTAAAATAAACTGGCGCCGAAAGCTCCTTCAGAATTTTTTATGGTCAGTCAGCTTAAACTGGATATCTCAAAATAGTGCAAAGTGGGACCCTTTCGGTGGACAAGAAATCGAAGCCGTGAACAACTCTCCCAAAACCACATAACAGCCTCAACTTACCATTTTTCGGTGCCGCGACAGCTTTTTGAACCAAACATGTTCAAAAACTTGTCGCGGCCAAGTCATTTTTGGACGGTTTTGACCAAGGCGTAAATTTAAGGGTTGGTCGACCAAAAATTGATGACGTGAAATAGTACCAACGGTATTTCTAAGGAAAATGTCTGAAGTCTTCCCCTTTCTTCAATAAAACAGTCATTGTTTCTAGTTGGTAGGGGCGTTTGTTTTTTAAATCGGCTGTTTTGTTTTCCAGACCAATTTTACTCGCCAGTTTTACGAGCAGCTTCCTTATTTACGACAGCTTCTCGGGTAAGTTTTATATAACCAAAATAGACAAAAACTCAAGCCGAATGGCCGAATACAAAATAGACACGAAATCTGTCGGAATCGATCTATCGTTTGAGTCGTGTTGTGTCGGAATAGAACTGAGCAGTGTTCTGATTGGTCGACGAGATGAGCTATTCTTTTTCGACATCAAGTCGGGCGATTTCAAACGAGAGTTGAAAGTGGAAGACATTGATTGTATCCAGAGTGCTACTGGGTGTAGAGGGGGAATCGTTCTCAGGTTAGCTGGTTTTTTAGTTTAATCGCAAAATTAAAAAAAATATATTTGTTTCTGCATTTCTTCATGTTTTAGTGGGGTGTCAAAGAAATCAGGTAATCATGTAATTGTGATAAATTATGGTGGAAGCTTAAAATATTTTTATAGACAGACCAGACCGTTAACATACCGTCAATGTGTCTTTTTAATAAAATCTGAATGTAAATTTTTGAGCAATTTTTGGGGGTCATTTTCCCCATCCATTAACTAACACAGAGGACCCCGAACTCTCATTTCAGCCATTTCTTTACCGCTCCTTCTTAACAGATTAACCGAGGATTATATTCCAGGTATCTTGGTCCGCTTTTACGACTATCTTTTTATGGCCAAATGGCAACTCGGTCATCAAGAGTGTCGGGCGCTGCTAAGCAGCGGATACTCTCAAGTCAGATACTGCGAAGAGTACGATCGCACATTTCTCCTCGTGAACTCAGAGCACCTGCACGTTTTAGTTATCGAAAACAACGGACTTCTGTTTTGCAAAATCAGTCTAACTGAAAATATAAAAAAAGAGCGATACTATTTTGACATCAAGAAGCACAGCAACAGTTTGTTTTTGTTGATTTGCAGTAAAACTGGAGAGGCTGAAATTTATTCAATGACGATTGGACCAAAAAAACTCAATGCGAAACTAGATATTGAAAGCAAAGATTATGTTATGTGTTAGATAGAAAAGCTTTTAATCTGAATTATTGAAATGTCTAATTAACAGAGACAAAAAATTTCAACCTGAACTTGAACAAAACATCTTCAAAAAACGTCGGGTGATTGTTGAGTAGATTGAATCAGCGATTTTAAATCATGAGGGCAGTATTTGGAAACACAATCACGGAATAAAATCGAAATTTGGGATTATAGTGGGTTCAGAGTACTTAATATCAAATCATCAGTATTTCAGATGAGATGGTTAGTTAAAAGTTAAAATGATCAGTATTGAGATGAGATGCTTGGTTGAAATCGTCAGTTTTTGAGATGAGGTGGTTGGCTTAAAGTATTAGCTTAAAGTTGATTTCAAAAACTCAAAGATGTTCATGAAAAGAGTTAATCAAACTGTTATGGTCTGTTCTGGTTTGTCCGCAATCTGAAAATATTTGAAAAATGTTAATTTAAAACGTATATATTTTAATTGAATTTAATTGAGATGAACTGATAAATTAGCTTACTTCAGTTTGTTCAGTAGCCAAGAATTGGGATCAAAAATAGGGTGGGTGTTAGATAGAATTGAGATCAAAGTTGGCTGTTTGACAAGAATTGAGATCGAAGTTGAGTGTTTGACAGGAATTGAGATCCATGTTGGGTGTTTAACAGGAATTGAGATCGAAGTAGGGTGTTTGACGGGAATTGAGACCGAACTGAGGGGCAAAGATTTGAGGTCGAATGTTTGACCAAGAATTAGTAGATCGACCTAGTAATTGAGATTGAAACTGCTGGTGATCACATAGTGAATGAATCATAAAATTTAAAACGCTAATACAAATATACATAGGTGTAATTGGAATCAGCAAACAAAATGTGGATTCCATTTAGAATTTGCGGATTCCACTCACAATTTGCGGAATCCGCTACACCTCATTTTACCTATTTTATTGTCTTATTATTTGTTTTAGAATTTCACAAACTAATCCGGCTTCCGCAAATACTGTTTCGGATTCCGCAGTTTTGCTTATACCGGGTGTAGAGGGGGAATCCTTCTCAGATTAGCTGGTTTTTTAGTTTAATCGCAAAATTAAAAAAAAAATTATTTGTTTCTGCATTTCTTCATGTTTTAGTGGGGTGTCAAAGAAATCAGGTAATCATGAAATTGTGATAACTTATGGTGAAAGCTTAAAATATTTTTATTTACCGTTAACATACCGTCAAAGTGTCCTCTTAATAAAATCTAAATGTAAGTTTTTGAACAATTTTTTGGGGTCATTTTTCCCATCCACTAACTAACACAGAGGACCGCGAACTCTCATTACAGCCTATCTTTACCGCTACTTCTTAACAGATTAACCGAGGATTATGTTCCAGGTATCTTGGTCCGCTTTTATGACTATCTTTTCATGGCCAAATGGCAACTCGGTCATCAAGAGTGTCGGGCGCTGCTAAGCAGCGGATACTCTCAAGTCAGATACTGCGAAGAGTACGATCGCACATTTCTCCTCGTGAATTCAGAGCACCTGCACGTTTTAGTTATCGAAAACAACGGACTTCTGTTTTGCAAAATCAGTCTAACTGAAAGTATAAAAAAAGAGCGGTACTATTTTGACATCAAGAAGCAAGCAACAGTTTGTTTTTGTTGATTTGCAGTAAAACTGGAGAAGCTGAAATTTATTCAATGACGATTGGACCAAAAAAACTCAATACGAAGCAAGATATTGAAAGCAAAGATTATGTTATGTGTTAAATAGAAAAGCGTTTATTCTGAATTACTGAAATGTCTAATAAACGGAGACAAAAAATTTCAACTTGAACTTGAACAAAACATCTTCAAAAAACGTCGGGTGATTGTTGAGTAGATTGAATCAGCGAGTTTTCTATTCGATTAAATCGGCAAATTTCACAAGAAACATTTCTGCTAACATTTCATGATTGTTAGCATAACAAAAATTTCTGGTATCCCGATCAACGAGAAGCCAAGTCAAATCATCAAATCAATCAGCCTATTCATAAAAACTCAAATATTTATAATGTAAATGGCAGCCAATTAAAGGGAGCAAACCCACGCCTACTGCTAAATTTAATGAGGAATGATTTCCTTAGCACTTTCACCATCTTGTCTTGAAAACTTTTCAGCCGGGGTGGGTTTAGGAGAGAGGAAGTGGGGGACTTTCCCTTCCCTTCTCAGCGATTTGACCCCTCACCAAGCAAAAGGTCCCCCTTTGGTTTTAATTTATGACATTCATTTTTGATTGAAGAACTCTGAAATGTTTCTAGAGGGCTCTTCAATTTGGCGCCAATATATACTAACTTTAAGGAGCGCGCGCCGAAAAAAATCCCAAAAACGGCATTTTTACCAGTTTTTTTTTTAATTTTGACTGCGGAGCAAAGTTTTCTAGTCTATATAGGGTCTTATAGTAATTCTAAGAGTGCTCGGGAAAATAATTAGGTCGACCTCAAAAAAAACAAAAGTGGACAAAATTTTCGAAATTTTTTTGAAACCACCCTTCGAGAAAATTCTAAATCGGCCCCAGCTTTTCAGCGATACTGATGACAAAAACTCGGAATCTTGCAGCGGCATTCAGAAAAAAATTTCACCAATCTCAATTTGTTTAAATTAACATCCGAATTGTAATCCATTTCTGAAACTTCCATGACACATAAACAATCTGTTATATGTAATTTTTTCCTTAACCATTTATAGCGCCGTCTCGGCTCAATTTTATCTCGGATAAATTATCCGACATGGGTTATTTCGATCCCATAGGCGCCACACACAAACCTCTAAGTTTCTTTTCTACATAACACGGAGTGTCCTCAATTAGGAAATCCCTCGTATCGCCCTCTTCGTAATCCTCCACAAATAGTCGGGTAGTCAGACATGCTTCGCGACTGGTCTTATTTTCATTTCCCGCCCATTGGTGGTCTCCCACAAATTCGTCATCCATACGCTTAAAGTCACTAATCGCATAATATCCAAGGTCATCGTCTCTAATTCTTTCCATTTCTTTTCCGACATCGACGGTGACTTTGAGTTTAGCAAAACCTAACCACAGTTTTTCGTTGTCGGACTTTATCTTATTTAAAAGTATTTGATTCCAAACCATCTTTAACTCGTTATCTCCTCGATCGTATAAATGACCATTATTCTGCCTAAAAGAAATATTTTTGGCGAGTAACTTTTTTTGATTAAAAACTTAGTTCAGATGAGCCAAATGATAAGTTTCGACATTCGACAATCGAGAACTCATATTGATTGAAACAAGTCCTGAACAAAATCAAATTGTATCACCACACAGTCTTCCAGGTCAGAAAATGCGCCTGAGTTGCGATGCTGGGCAAATACATCGCAAAAGCGAAAAGATATAATTGTCAACAAGGATAACCGGTTGCTGTGCAAGTAGCACAGAAAAATCCGACCATACTTACAAAAACCAAAAGAGATTTTTTTTCAGTTTCGGGTTGTTTTTCTGCGTGGTGTGATGAAAGGATCTGACGGAAGCCTACACATTAGGCATATTCAACATTCACAGCAGAGAAAGCAAATTAAAAGAAAGCTTTAAAAATGCATGGAAAACAAAAAATAGACATTACAAAAATCATTTAAAAAATTCTAAGAAATTTTTTTTTGGATTTTGAAGTTTTTTGTTCCCAAAACGGCACTAACAACTTTTTAATGCAGCAAAATTAAAGTTTATACTCTTATCTTACTATAAAAAGCTGGCTGTTTTGCTTTACTTGCCCGAAATTGTTCTAAAACTCAAAAGTTTCCAACCAGCTCTTCTCGAATTGAGGAAATTTTTCGGAAATGTTTTTTATGTTGCTCGAGCCACAACTGAAAAGATATAAGATGCTAATTTTTTGTCCTAATCTGTTGATTGTTTGCGGTATCCGTTTCTACCGAATTTCAACGGTCGGAACAAAAATATCGCAACTGTAGAAGTATGTATACTCATAAAACACTTAACGACGTAAGGTAGTATGAAAGAGATTTAAAAGAATCAATTTTAAATCAAAAGTGTGTCCATCGCATGGCTAACAATAATGTTGAACTTGGTACTAATTGTAAGTTATATAATATTATACAATTTTCAAACCAAATTAGCAATTTTTATTTTTATTTTTTTTTTCAAACTTATCCCGAAGTGGCGGTTAATATATTGGTATTGTGATGAAAAGACTTGCCTCTCGCAGTAATCTCTTGCTTCGTGGATGTAGCCGAATTTGTCAGAGAGCTGGTAGCACCCTGTGTGATGTCCTTTTCTTAGAACTTTCCATCCATAAGGACAGAGTGCTGTACGTACTCCAATCACAGTCACTGAGATCAGAAAGCATTGTGCAGAAAGACTAGTTAACATCTTTCGAAGCAGAGTGATGAAGAATTTCTACTGAAACAGCAAATTTAGAGGTAACTGTCTCAAAGCCGAGTTTTAGTCTTGACACATGAGAAAAAGAGTCCGACAACTTGGCCACTTGAAGGTTTGTAGTTGGCCACCCTGTTTTTAGTGTAAATTGACTAATCCAAAATAATTTTGGAACCAACGAATGTTTTGTTCGACCGAAGGCAACCTTTGTTTGCAAAGTTTGTAAACTTTTATTAAATATCCGCCCCCTTTTCCCCTCCTCAAAAGCTATAGATGCTGCACTGATCTGACTCTTACATTTTTTTTGTAAATGGGTAAATGGTGAACAAATTTAGTTTCAAACAAGTTTTTCGGTGTTTTTTTTAAATCTCACCTTTTTCAATTTATTAAGGCACTGCAAAATCTAATGTTACCGCATAAATTCTAATGTTCTAATTTTGCTTATGTTATAAAATCATCATTTTGTGTAAAATGGTAGTGAAAAAAAAGGAAACTTTTGCTTAACCAGGTCAGCAGAAAAATGTGACGCAGAGCTCAAACTTTTCCATTTCAAACCCGCACAGGCTTAAACTATGTTTCCCATCTGTGGCCATGAAAAACAAATACGAATTGATGAATAGATTCAATAAATAACGGCCGAAACATTTTAAATAACGGCCGAAAATGTTAGATTATCTGAATTCACGCCAATGTTTTTGGTATGCTCCCAAAAAAGCAAATCAGTGAACAATTTTGTGTCTGTATGTTCATGGATTCCAGAGACAAATCTTTAAACATAATTCAAAATGTAATTGGATTCCACTTACGAAACTTCCGTGGATTCCGCGTACAAATGCGTGTAAGGTAAATTTTGTCGGCACATTTGTTGTGTCGCGGATTTCGCAACAAGCGAACATAGCTTGTTGTTTTAACACGCAACTGTAAGTGGATTCCCTAAAATTTTAGTGGAATCCGCAAATGTTAGTGGAATCCGCAAAATTTTTAAGCGGATTTCGCAAACTGTAAGTGATTTCCGAAATTTGATTATTACTGAACTTGCATATGAATAATTAAAAGCAAGAGCTGGAACTATTATCTATAGCAATGCGGAATTTGAAAGCAAGGACTTAACGAACAAATCTAAAATCATTGGTTAACTAAATCGGTGGATGTCACCATTTTCCAGCAGGCTATTTTTGAGATCATAGTTTTGGAAACACAACACCGAAAAAATTCATTATTAGGAGTCATTGGCTTGAGAGTGTTAGGAAACAAAACACACATCATATCTCCTAATTAGTTCAGTATTTGGGATTTGATCAATCCATATACTGATCTAGTGGAACCCAGTTTTAGTGATGTTAAATCATGAGGGCAGTATTTGGAAACACAATCACGGA